TATCTATATTACGATTTGGGAACGACATCGTTTAAATTGATATATTTACATAAGGCCCATTATAATTGGACAAACAATTTATAAATACAATTAAATTTTAAAATTATAATATTCAAATCAATCCATAAAAATATTAGAATTTGGACTATTTAAAAAAAATAATTAATGGGTTGACTTCGGACTAGTTTTCTTCTTCCCATTTTTTCCTTGCATTCTTTTTTTTTCCGAATTACTGAACAAAGTATAAGTATTAGGAAGCATTATTTACTCTATAAAATGATTTTTGTTTCTTTTTCTTTTTTATACAGCAGTGACATTTTCAATCTGCTTAAAAAAAAAGATTTTTGCATTCTCCATTATATTTATGAGAAAATTTGCATAAATATACAAAAAATGTTTTTGCATTATATACTTCTACTATTATAATCTTTGTATTCTATATTTTTTTAAATTAAAATGACCATCATATCCTTCTATATTATTATAACCGCAGATTTTCTGCATTTATAAAAAAACACTTGCGTGAATTTCGTTTTCCTCTACATACATAAAACACACTTATATGGATTTTGTTTTCTTATATAAGTATAGAAAAACACTTGTATGGGTTTCGTGAAAAAACACTTGTAGGTTAACATGTGCGAAAGGTGTCGTAGGTGCCAAAGATGACTTGTCGCAGACAACAAATCATCTGGCAGACCGTAGTTCAGCTGCCGTATGCTATAGGTCATTTACCGCATAACGTAGATCATCTTTTACAATTTTTTTTACAGACATTTCATCAAACACCTTATGTGCATACAAAAAAATGAACAAAATATCATATAAAAAGAAATCAACCAGAAGAGTATTTGAATAGATTAGATAAACTGTAAGAAATAGAGAAGATGGAGAAAATGTTGAAGAAAAATAAGATCAAATAACAAAGTGTTCTGATTTCTAAAAGATAGATTATCACAAAAAAATACTTCTATAAATTTCGTTTTTCTCCGCATACATGAAAAAACACTTATATGAATTTTGTTTTCTTATATAAGTATAGAAAAATACTTGCATAAGATTATTCGTTAGTAGAATGGAAACAATTAGGAGAAGAAGGTCCCACGGGGAATGAATGAGAAGATCGAAAATTTGGAAGAAGAAAAGATTTTTAGTTAGACGCATGGAATTAGCTAAGCAGTTTTGTGAACACTTGTAGGTCAACAGGTCATCAGGCTGCATGTCGCAGGCGTGTTATATATGTTACATATATACATATAAACATCATTTATACATGTTACAACACATATCTATAAATATATATATACACACACCATCTATACATCTACACATATATATGTATATACGTGTATATATGTGTTATGTATGTATGTATATATGTGTGATGATTGATATATGTATGTATGTATGTATACATATATACATATAGCTCTACTGGCACCAAACGATTGCTGAAACTAACTACAAACCTACTAGCTAACGAACATCTAAACAACAAAACAAACCTGTAAACACTTATCAATTTTATACTTGGAGAAAACAAATGTGTGGACACGACATCTCCTATAATGTGAGATTTGGCTCAAACCTTGGAGATAAAAGCGTAGGCAAATAGCAAACTTATCGTTATAAGCTTAAATCAAGAAATAGAGAATGAGAAAATTCCTTCATCATTCTTACTCATTTGACGTAAGCCGGCACAAAGAACAGGTCTGCTTCCTCTTTCC